TTAATTTTTATTATTATTAAAAAAGGCATTTAAAAAAAAAGTTGCATTTGATTGATTTCGTTTCTCCATAACAAACAAACAAAAAGTTTTTAATTCACATTCAATGAAAATTTATCGTCCGAAAAAAAAAACAAACAAAAAAAATTAAAATTTTCAATCGCCATCCTCCGATTCGATTGGAATTGGTTGTCAACATTTAAATTTTTAGGTTGGTGCCACCACCATCATCACCACCACCACCCCCCTCTCCTCATCCCTGACTCCCTCCTCTTTCATCCCTAGAATGTTTTTTTTTTTGTATTTAGTGCCTACTACGGTCAATAATCGTTTCCGTTTTAGTAGAAAAAATAAAAAATTTCTTTTCTCTCTCTCCGGTAGTAGTAGAATTTATTGGAAAATACCGACAGAAATGCTGTCGGTTTTCCAAAAACTCACTTGTCTTTCTCTCTTTTTTTCTCTTATGATTTTTCCGCGAGAATTTTCCGTTTTCCTCACACTAAAAAAAAAAAAAAAATCCGATTTTTTTTACCGATTTCGTCAAATAGTTGATTTCATTAAATTAAAAATATTAATTTGAAGTGGAGGCGTGGAAAATTTAACGGTTTCACACGTTTTAATGTTTCTTTTCCCTCCCTCTCTTCCTCCCTGCCCCCCACTTTCACTCCCTCCATAACCGACATTAATTAATTTGTCGTCTGTAGCGCGAGTGAAATTAAAATTGAAAATTCTCTTGGAGCAACTGCAATTAATTTAAAAAAATTTTTTTCTTTTTTAACGTCGCGAAAAAACGCGAAATAATTTGATCGCTGTTGAAATGGTGCTGTTGTTGCTGTTGTTGTTTACATGTTTTTAATATCAAACTTAACGTTTTTTTTTTTTTTTAACAGATAAGAGACTGCTTATCGTTGGAAGAAGAAATGTTAAAACAACAATCCGTCGTCGTTGGCGATGTCGATGACATTATGCAAATATTGGACAAGCAAAAGGTAAAAAAATTTTTAATTTTCTTTTTTTTTTTTGGCCCCCCCATTTCGTAAGGGACCGCTTGAATCATTCGTTTGCCATCTGTCGGATTTTTCCAAAAAGTAAATAATGATACGTTTGAAAATGTAGTTCGGGAAAAATCTTTTGAGCGGCGCTGTTATCGCATTAAAAAAATTTTCCTTTATTTATTTACTTTTTTTTTCCGTTTCGGTTGTTGTTTGTTATCATTTGCGGATTTTATTTTTTGTGCAAACAAACGATAGGATAAAAAAAAAATTCATGATTTTTCCGGGCGATTCGTAAAAAGATTTTTTTTTTTTTTTTGATAAAAAAGGGAAAATTAAAATCATCGATGACGAAAATCAATAAAAAAAAAAAAAAAAAAGTACACATTTAATCTTATCAAAGTTTTAATGGATGCTTTTAATTTTGGTCTAGGGGTTTCCCCTTTTTTTTTTTTTTGTTTCTCTTCTTCTTCCGGAATTTTTTTTTATATTATTATTATTATCATGTTCTTCGAGTCCTTTTTCGGTTTTTGAAAATATTTTAGAATTTTCAAATTTTTGGAAAATGCGTCAGAGTAAAAAACTTATATTAAATTTTTTTTTCTCTCTACTCTACGTCGCGATTACAAAATGTTACACGATAATTTATTACCTTTTTTCTCGCAAGACATCTACCTTATCATCATCATCATTATCATCATTATTATTATTATTACTACCGGTATTTTTTCTTTTTTTCGTTTTTGAAGTCGGCGGTTTTTAACATCGTTTAACACTTTTAACATTTTGTTCGTCTACTGCTGGTAGTTTTTTCCAGAAGTCGTATCAGGTTCTCACACGCACCCATACACACATATGAGGTCTTCGGAGTAAGTGGTTGAATGAAGCATTATGGTGCTAACGGTAAAAAATGTGGTATGGCTTCAGGTGCTGCCACTAATACCGGAAATATTTCCCATTACACCTTGATTCGTTCAATATCCGGTTTGTTGGGCTTCCCTGTTTTCCAGTGCGCATTCAGTTGGTACGGCCCCTTCTGTTGTTCTTCGTCACCATGTTTTGTTACCGTTCTTCGGTTGTTTCTTCCGTTGCATACCATCATAACTCATGCGTATTCGACTTTAGTTTGTCAACCGAGGCCAGGCATGCGTCCTTGTCGAAATTTTTGTACCGGATTACGCGGGAATCGAATTTCCAATCGATTTCTCACTAAATGAAACGTAAGAAATTTATCATCATCATCATCTTTATTATTATTATTATTGTTGTTGTTTTATGTATTATTAAAATAAGTAAAACGGCAGAGGAAAAACTGACATAAAAAAATATTTTTTGGCAAACTTTTTCGTTTTCCATTTTTTTTGTTTTTTTCTGTCCATTGTTTTTTTCCCTTTCGTATCCTTTCACGAGAGAAAAATTGACGTAAAAGGAAAAGGCAAAAGGAAAAGGTAAAAGGAAAACGTAAAAGTTGATGGGAGGAAAAGAGAAAAAAAAGAAGGTAGAGTTGTAGAGATTATTATTTGGCAGTTAATTAATTACTTTATTAATTAATCTTCACTTTATTTTGGGGGTGGGTTGGTTGGGAGAAGATGGGTGGAGAGAGGGGGTGGAAGTGGTTTAAAAAAGTTTTTTATATAAAAAAAAAGTAAGGAAAGTTTTTTTTAATATTTTTTTTATAATAATAATATTGTGCGTGGGAAAATGAATGCACATCCGATTAACCGATCGGGGAAAGGAGGAGGAGGAAAAGGAAAGAGAAAAAAAAAAGGTTCGGCAGAAAAAAGGTTTTATCTACTTACTCAGTAAATAAGTTATTGGTGGAGGGGGAAGGAGAGAGGGAATAAAGAAAAGATTTAAAAACTTATTCGAAAACTTAAATAGTTGAAAGATTTTGAAAAGTTTTCTACGACAGTATAAAATATTTAATCGAAAAGTCGAATCCTTATGTATATAATTAAGAATTGGAGGTTGTCGCGCAAAAACAAACGGTTGTGTTTTTCGTAATAATGATAATGATGATGATGATTATGTAATAAAACGCTTGCTGATCAAACCTGAAAGTTTTTGTCGAGAGCCTGGTTTCTTTTCGGGTATATTCGCACGTGAAAATGAAAACTAATCGACTGTCTCCGAACGTGACGACGTTTGGAACATTCTAGAACAGTTGATGGGTGAAAAAAAAAGTTTCCGGGGGGTAAAAAACGGGGAGAATCGTATTTATACTTACTGGGAAAAGTTGGAAAAGCCAAAACGTCAAAAAGTGGATTAAAAAAAAAAAAGAAACTTTCGTCCGGAAAATATTTAAAAAATTTTCTTTTTTTTTTTAAATAAAAAATAATAATAATAACGACGCTTTAAGGGATTTTGAAAAATTTTTTCCCAAAGGAAAAGGGTGAGAGAAGGGAAGGGAGGAAAAAAAGAAAAACTTTTTTGTTTGTCTAATTTGAATAAAAGAAAATTTTAATTTTTTTTTTTGTCGGTCGGACGGTTGGTCGGACGTGTATCAGAAAATAAATAATTTTTTTTATAAAAAATTTTATTCACGTCCTTTATTTTTTTTTTGGGGGGGTGGAGGAGGAGTGGAAAGAGGTAGGAAAGGAGCAGCCCATCGAGAAGCGCGAATGGAAATTTCTTAAACGTTTTGACATAAGAAGGAATTTTAAGCGATGAATTTTCTCGCGAACTCTGAATTCAACAGAATCATCATCATCATTTGTCTTTTCGTGGCGACGGTGGTGGTGGTGGTGGGGTGATGAAAACGACGATATATCGATCGATCGATCTATCGAATTTCTTGCCCTTACGAAAACCATTTACCTAAAATCAAATTTATTCATTCATTCCTTTGATTTATGCACACATATTATCATTCGGGTAATAAATCAAAGGAAAACAATTATTTACAAAAGTCGCGAAGTCAAAATTAAATTTTTTTTTTCCTTTTTTTCCTTTTTTTTTCCTTTTCCCCTCTCCTTCCCACCTTCCTCCCCCTTTTTTCGACGTCTGCCTATTTTTTTTTGGTTTTTTCTTCGATTTCAATCCTGAAAAAAAAATGACTACGGAAGCATTTTTAAATTATTAAAAATGACATTTTGGAGATTTAAAGGAAAAATAATGATGATGATGATGATGATAATAATGATGGCGACGACGTTCGTTCTGTAAAGTTAAACGCGTGATTTGAGATTGATAAGGTGGCGTTTAAATTAAATTATTCTTATCGGGGGAAAAAAAAAAAAAAAGTTTTAGTTTTCTCCAGCCTCAAGTCCCATTTTTTTTTTTTTTTCCTTCTTCTTTTTCCAATCATCGAAAGCGCGTGCGCGCACACGCACCCCGCACGCACGCATACGTATAGTATATATATATATATATATATATATATATATATTTTATTATGCTTTATCTGATTGCAATAAAAATTTAATTTAAAAAAGGCGGCATCCGTTTTCCTTCTCATACCATTTAAAGTTTTTCTTTTTTTTTTGAAGTTTTCCAGAGTTTTTTTTTTTAAATTTTTCCTTTTTTTTTTTTTATAACTCCATAAAAAGAAAAAAAAAGAAAAAGAGAAAAAAAAAGAGTGAGAATTTTTTTTTTTGTTCGAGTTTATTACCTTATTTGTTTGAATTATATATGCATATATTCGTTTTCATATTTTTTTTTCATTATTATTATTATTATTATATATTATTATTATTATTATTATTATTATTATTATTATTATTATTATTATTATTATTATTGTAGATCGAAATTAGAAATCGATTGGAGTTTTAAAAAAAAAAAAAAAGAAATTTTATAAAAATTCAATCTCGTTTATATTTCTCATTTTAGAATTTTATATATAATAATACATGTTTGAATATTGTCATTTGTTTTGCGGAAATGTGGCGCGGCGTGGCGAAAAATGAGGGGGCGGGTAAAAGGGGGAGGGACGGGGGCTTTCCTCGAAACGGAGAGGGGCGGGCAAACCACACAAAAGTTTTTATTATATGTGTATATGTTATAATTGTAATGCTTTTAAATTTTTTACCGATGGTTTATCAATAAACTGTCACGTTTTACCCTTTTATATTTTATTCCAGAATGTTCTTCGGGAATTGGAACAGAAAAAGCCGCAATTAGACGAACTCGTACACACGGCAGAAAATCTTAAAGCGGAACCCAATCGACAGCAGCTTCACGGAAAAGGTGAGTTTTTTTTGTCGTTTTTAATATTTTTTTTCGGAAGACTCTAAACGATAGGGGATGATTGTAACGATGATGATGATGATGACGGTGAACGAATGAAAAAAAGAAAAAATTTCGCAAAGTAAAAAGCATTAAATTTTACTTTTTATGAGTTTTCGTTTTCGACGTTCTTAAAGAAAAGAAGGGGGGGAGGGAAAAAGAAAAAAAATTTGAATAGTGTTCATTAAAACCTTTTTCAAGTCCTTTTGGAAAAAGGACTCATGACGGTTGTTATATAAGGGTTAAATAAGTCGAAAGAACGAACCTTTTCAAGAGTTGTTATAAAAGGGATAAGGAGAGACGGGGGCGAGGGCGGGGGGTTGAAAAAGAATTTTTTTTTTTTTTTGTTTGACTTCGAATTCACATTGTTTAACTCTTGGAATTTATTATTCGTGTCTAAGAAAAAAAAAAAAAAAATTTCTGTCTTTTTTTCGTTTCTTTCTCCTGCCACGTTTTTTTATTTTTCTTATCCTTTTAAAATTTAAATTTTCACTTTTTAATGTATTTTTATTATCGTGTTTTTTATTTATTTGCGTTATTATTATTATTTATTTGTTAAAGAGAGTTTGTTTTGTCGAGTGTGCGAATTGAATTGAGTTGTTGTTGTTCTCGGTGTTGTTTTTCTAGTCTTATAATTTTGGTAAGTGTTTTCTCTCTCTCTCTCTCTATCTCTTTCTCGAAATTATTTGCGTAAAAACAAAAAACAAAAAACGAATAAATTATTATGTGTCACTGAAAAAAAAAAGGAAGTGAATACACTATCGCACGTATATACACGCGCACAACAAAACCTTTTTTCGCGATTTCTTTTGTTTTATACAGTCGTGAAAGAAAAAAAAAGGTTTGTGTGTTTTCAAAGAAAATGTTTTTAAAAAGGGAATAGAAAAAGAAAAGAAAAGGAAAAAAAAGGATGTGAAGAATATATACAATGCCTTTTGATCTTTATTTTTTATTTTTATCGTGTACGTACACAAAAAGAAAAAAAATGTTCTTTCTATTTACACGTGAATACGTTCATAATTGAACGTTTTTTTTAGTTTTCTTTTTTTTTTTTTTTCTTTTTCTTTTTTTTTTATTTATAAATTTTGATGTTGATTTAAAAAAAAAAAAAAAAAAATCTCGTCTGATTATTCTTTTTGTTGTTTTTTGTTGTTGGCAATTGTGGTTGTTGTTTGTTGTTTTTATTTTTTTTCAATTTTATATTTTTAAAATTTGCCCCGCGTACCTGTCGGAAAATCTTCACAAACAGCTTTTTTTGTTTTTTTTTTCCTTTTTGAAACGCGAAATGTTTGAGCGTTTGATGATCATTATTATTATTGTTATTATCATTATCATTATTATTATTATTATTATTATTATTATTAAATTTTTTTTTCTGCAACCATTGCGGATTATATATACGTTGGAAATTTAATTTTTTTAATTTTAGTTTTTTAATTGTTTTTTAACTTTTTTTTTAATTTGGTTTTTCTGCGATTTCATCAAATAAAAATACGCATTGATTGATTGATTGATTGATTGATTGATCGATCGATTCGTCTGTCGAACTTATATTTGTACGAAATTTATTTTCTGAATGTTCGTCATTACCGTCGGGAAAAAAAAAAAAAAAATTTTTTTTCCTTTTTTTTAAATCAATCAATTACTCGAAATTTTGATCGATTTTTCAATGAGAATGATTTGAAGTGTCGATTATTGTGATGATGATGATGATGATAATAATACGTTTATAAAATTGATATGATTTCGAAACCGTCAAAACCGGAAGCGGATGAACAAAAAAAAAAAAAAACGTCGAGAGTTTCGTTGCTTTCACTAATATAAAAATTCTTTAAAATGCCGCCGTTTGTAGTATATTCGAACGTTTGTCGTCGTGACGTCAGGTGTCGTATCGTTCTTAATGCATTTTTTCGTTTTTTTTTTTTATCCCGTCCCCCCTAAAATTAATGCGTAATTTTATTAATTAATAAATTATTCAGGTAATTCGAGTTGTTTTGTGCGCGTGCGCGTTTTATTATTTTCCCCCCGTCAGCCACACAACACGCTTTTAACTTTTTGTGTTTTTTTTTTTTTTTGGGGGGGGAGGCGGAATTTTCTATTCAAGTCTTCGTTTAAAAAAAAAAAAACTTTGTATAGGAATCAAATTGTTATGACGAGTAATTTCGTCTGCTCTCGACGTTTGATTCGAGGAATTTTTGTTGTTGTTGTTTAGAAAAGTCGTGGGTTTAGAAAATGTTTTTATCATTTTCGCGCGCCTTTTTTTTTTTGGTCGGAGGCGGCTCACGCACGATTTCATTTATTTTTGTTCATAGTTTTTTTTTTTTTAAAAGTTTTATCATCTTTTCATTCAAAATTTTCCCTTTTATTATTTTCCTAATTCTTTATCAACGTTTTCTCTCTCTCTTTTTCCATTTTTCCCGAATTCGCGCGTAAATGTTTTGAATTTTGGCAACAAAAAAAAAAAAATGTTTTTTTGTCTTACACTTTCGTCGCTGTTTAATTGTCTTTCTTTTCGTCGCTCTTTATTTAAATCCTTTTTTTTGCGAAGACGTTTTCGAAACGTGTTTATTATTGTTATTATTATTATTATTATTATTATTATTATTATTATTATTATTATCGTATTTAGTATTTAACTTACGCTCCGTTTTGTTTTTGCCTTTTATTTTCATTCATTTCATGCTTCGAATGTTTTGATTAATTACGAAAAGTAGTCTTTGCTTTTTTTTCTTTTTTTTTTTAACCTTTTCAAATTTGCAAATTTTTGAATTTTTCCACGAAATGTTTTTCATGTTTGTTTTGTTTTGTTCTCTTTTCTCTCTCTCTCTCTCTTTTCACCGTTTCACGTGAAATAATCGTACGTATTTACGTTTTTTCATCCGTTAATTTTTTTTTTGTAATTAAAAAAAAAAAAAAAGGTCGTTAACCTATTTAAAAAATCGTGAAAAGCTTTTTTTTTGTTTGTTTGTTTGTTTGTTTAAAATTTATATTACATTTCATTAATTAAATTTTATGGTTTTTATTATTTTTAATTATTATTAATAAAATGAGTTCTAGTGCTCTTCACGCCCCTCGAATCGTTTCCACAGACAGCTTTTCAAAAAAAAAAAAAAAATTAAAAATTAATGAATTAAAAAAAAAAAAATAATAATAATAATAATTTCAAAGGACGAAAATGATTTTAAGAGAAAAAGTTTTTCTTTTTTTTTTTTTAAATTCGATTTTAAATTTAATTATTCGAAAAGGAAAAGGAGGAGTAGGAGGAGGAAGAGGAGGGAAAAAAAAGAAAAGAAATTCTTAGCTAATTCGAAAAAGAATACAAAAGAAAAACGGAAATAAAAAGAAAAAGAAAAATCGTTTTTGTTATTATTGACTGAATGGGAAAACACTTGGATGAAAAGTTACGAAAAGAAAAGAAGAAAAAAAAGAAAAAAAATAGAAAGAGGAAAAAAAAGGGATTTTCATTTTTGCACATGCTCGAAAAAAAAAAAAAAGAAAAAAAAAAGTGCGTGTTGGTTTCGTGTTGAGAAAAATTTTTGAGGAAAAGAGAAAAAAAAAAAGAAAAGAAAAGAAAAGAAGAGAAAATTGTTGTTTTCTTTTTGTATTTAATTTAAAACGAGAAGAAAAAAAAAGGAAAAGTGAAATTTATTTATATTTACAAAGAGGTTTTCCGAAATTGAAAAAAAAAACAAAATAAATAAATAACGGGCGAAAGCGAACGAACGGATGAGAAACGTAAATAAAAAAATAAAATAAAATTTTAAATAGATATTCATCATCATCATCATCATTAGCTTTATACTCTATGAAACGAACGAACGGGCGATAACGAAGAAACTCGTCGTCGTCGGCGACAAATTTAAAAACAAAAATGGAAAAAACAGTTTTTCCACACATACATATACATGTGTATAAGAAAATAGAGAGAGAAAAGCGAAGGAAGAAGGCGTTCGATCCGTTCGTTTCGTTTCGTCGTTCGTTCGCTTTTTATTTTTCATCCCGCAAGCTCTTCGATATTCTTATTTCCCTTTTTTTTTTTTTTGGAGCACGTGAGTGAGCCCGCCATAGCCTAGTCGCGTTCGGTTTTTCCACCGAAGCGGATGCGCGCTTTTCGGCACGAACACAAGCACACAAAGTCACGGCGACGGTTTTCGATTCAATGTATTATTATTATTATTGTATTTTTTTTTTTAATATCATGTTGAAAACGTCGTGATTGTTATTATTATTATCATTATTATTTTTTATCATATCCGTGTGTATTCATATCGTATTTTTGTCGCGAAATTCGGCGTGTTTTCGCGGAGAAAAGAAAAGAAAAAAAAAAGGTGAATTTTCGTCATCGATTTATATTTACATTAATTTTTTTTTTTGTTACTAAATTTACCGAAATGAAATTTTAATTGGTTTTGTTATTATTATTATTATCATTATTATCATTATCGTTATAGTTGTGTAAAAGTTCGTTAAGGGGTTGAATAGAATTGACGTCACGGAAATGGTAAAAATACAATTTGATTGATTGATAAAAAGATTTGTGTGATGATGATGAATATTATTATTATTATTATTTCCACCGCTTACTAGTAATTAATTAATTATTCGTTTCAATGAAAAGTTTTTTCTCCCCCCCACCACCTCCCTCTCTAAAAGAAAATTTTTTTTTTTTGGAAAAAACCCGTAAAAAGGGGGAAAATTTGTCACCTTTTATTTTCAATCACATTTACGGTCACATTCGTATTATATACGTTTTTCCCCGAATTTTCTTTTATTATTATTATTATTATTATTTTTGTTGTTGTTGTTGTTCGTGCTGTTGCTGTTGCTGTGATTCGAACGCGTAATTTAAGAAAATTAAACGTGAAAACGAAAACGAAAAAAAAAGTAGGTAGTTCAGCACATAGTGGTAGTAAAAAAGTTTGTAGTAAGAGAATTTCCGGTTCTTTTCTTTTCCTTTTTTTCCTTTTTTTTTCTCCTTTTTCCTTTTCTTTCTTTTCTTCATCATTTTATTTATTTTCGTTTTCGTTTCGTTTCATTAAAGGAGAAAATTTAATTTTTTTTTTTTTTTTTTTACTTTTCCCGACAGAAAATTTATTTAATTTACAAAATGAAATTTTTTCTTTTTTTTTTTTTTCTTTCCGTTATTTACTTTTTTTAACCGTCGAGACGAAATAATTTTTTAAAGGTATTAAAAAAAAAAAAGGCAATAAAAAGAGTTTGGGGAGATGGGGGGAGGGGA